CCGGATCGTTCTGTACAAGATGGAGTCGGACGTCATGATGTATGTTGTCGGAGGCGTCGACGAGAACGAGGTCCTTCTTTACAACGTCATTCTGGCTCTGAGGGATTCTCTTCACCTTCTCTTCAAGTAAGCTATGTTTCCTTTGCAGTCTCATGGTACTACAAGTAGCTGGTGGTTCTAATCGCTCTGCTAGGCAATCTGTCGACAAGCGCACAATCGTCGAGAACTACGACCTCGTCTCTCTCGCTATTGACGAGATCGTTGACGACGGCATCATCCTCGAGACCGACCCCACCATTATCGTCCAAAGAGTCAGCAAGGCGCCGGCGCAAGACGTCGACCTTCGCCGCATCGACCTCAGTGAACAAGGTGTCAACAACCTGGCCCAGCTGGGTAAGTCGAAACTGGCGGACTGGCTGCGGCAAGGCTTGTAAGGGGTTGGCTGTGGTGTAAGTAAAAGAGAGAGAGAGAGAGAGAGAGAGAGAGAGAGAGAGAGAGAGAGAGAGAGAGAGAGAGAGAGAGAGAGAAGATGGAGATATAAACCAGGGATGGTGTGCAAATGGGAGTTTTATGGTGGCTTCTAAAGGGAACGCATCATTAAAAGTATAGTCCTCTGAAAGGGGGACGTCATGACGAATGCCTCAAATTTATGCTTGATTCTATTTTTTGTCCAAGAAACCCGTCTATGCTCGGATCTCGGAGGCCGCCTTGCGGAGCCTGTTCATTACCGCCTCTGCAATGTCATTCCTGTCGTCAATGCCGTCCACGAAGATGACGCTGGCACCTCTTCTATCCAGATCCCTAAGAGCCGAGAAAAGCCCCTGAGCGATCCCCTTGATGTCGTCGCCCAGATCTATGTCGAGGATCGTCGCCATGGGCTTATCCTCTGCGTCCTGAAGCTCGCCCTCCTGAACCTCGTACGCCGCTTCGTCCCTCGCATTCGCAGCCGTAGCCCCATCGACATGAACCTTGGAGACTTGCAATGCGCCATGGTGCAGACCACCCGCAATCTTCCACCGTCTCGTGCGAATGATACCAATCTTGAGCGGGCCCGGCTCCGCGCCATTCGTCGCAGTCACGTCGCCATTCTGCTGGATCAGTGCCTTTTGCAGGTCCTCGGCAATGATACCCTCCGCACCCGCCTCGCAAGCCCACTCGTACAACACGACCTTTGCCTTGGGACTATAGTGTTTATACTTCATCCCCGGCGCCCGCGGCGTCGCCTTGCCCATCTCGCTCTCGTCTTTGTACGCCTTGACGACGCCCTCCCAGCCGGGGCAAGCCCGCAGCTCCTCCATGCCCACGCCGCCGGGCCTCAGCACGACGGGCGGGTCGCACAGGCCGTCGACGACGGTGCTCTCCACGCCGACCTGGCACGCCCCGCCGTCCAAGATGAGCTCGATGCGCCCTTCCAGGTCGTGAAAGACGTGCTGCGCTGTCGTGGGGGACGGTTTCGTGGACGCGTTGGCCGAGGGCGCGGCCAGGGGAACGCCGGCGAGCTTGATGAGCGTCAGCGCCAGTGGCGAGGACGGCAACCGTACGCCGAAGCTGGCCAACCCTGCTGTGACTTCGGGCGCGAGCTTGCTCGGGTCCGGATTCCTCAGCAAGATCGTTAGGGGTCCAGGCCAGAACTTTTCAATGAGCGGCTTGTAAATTTCCGGGATCGGGTCCTTTGCTGCGTCGCCGTTGGTCTGCTTCTCGGACCGCAACAGTCCCCGCAACATATCCAGATCGCAGACGTGCGATATCAGAGGGTTGTCTGATGGCCGGCCCTTGGCTGAGTAGATGCCTTTGACGGCGCCGCTTCTCGTGGCGTCGGCCCCAAGGCCGTAGACGGTTTCGGTTGGAAATGCCACGGGCGTGTCCTTGCTGCGCAGGTATTCCGCGGCATCTCGTAGGGCGGCTATTGATGCGCCAGAGGCCGAATTGGCGATTTCCCAGTTACTTAACCTCTCAGATCCCTCCGCGTTTCTGAAATTTCCCAGCCCTTGGGCCTCGACTTTCACTACTCGGGTTTCCATGGTGACTTTGGTGTTATGTTGTGATGAAAGCAATCGCCGGTAGTTGTGGCTGTAAGTTGCAATTTGACTACTTATACGGCGTATAAGAGATGGTGTAAAAAGATACGTCGGTTGGGTTTGCATAAAATCCAAGGGTAGGAAGAAAATTAAGTTGACAGAAGAGGGTCTATCTAGGTGGCTTTCTCCGATGTCAAAAGAAGAATCTAGATCGTCGTCATATGAGATAAATTGGGTATCAACAAAAGGTCTTCATGCAGATCAAGTGGATGAGAGGGACAGGATGGTCAAAGTTGAGTCATATGCAGGAAAAAAATTCTCTGGATGAGGCTAAGTGAGTGAGGTGTGTGTGGCCGTTGGTGCTGCGCTTTAGCGGCGATATTTCCGAGTTTAGGGAACCGGTGGTCGGGTCTTGCCCGTCAGTAGCAGTGACATCTGCTGCTAAGGTCACCTCCGCCGATCGGCTTTCAGTGGGGCCTGTGATGTGATTGTAGTGGGGGTTAAGTCTGCTCTAGGCACTCGCCACGTGCTGAGTAGCCGCGGCCAACCTGGAGAAATTCCGTGTATGAAGTTTAAGGTGAAGTACTCTTTGAAGCTCACTCTTTGAAGCTCACTCTTTGAAGCTTCAGCTTGAAAGTTGTGACTATGGCCTTATTTTCACTGCTATTGAGCGGCTGCATGCGCCGGAGAGTAACCAGAATATTTGCTATGCTTCACTTCGCACTTCTATATTCAAGATGCTGTTTGTGTAACATAGGATAGTAATAGCTGCAAAAACTGCAGGTTGATCTTGTAACAATCACCTAGTTACGAAAGCGACTTTGAGAGATGGCCATGAGGTATCTCAAGCATTCTTGCTAGCTTTTGATCACATTCTTTGTGTGTTCAGACAGCACCCTTGACTTTCCCATTCTCCTTTCCTAGAAAATGGCCACATCAATATAGGGCCCTGCCTACCACAGAATGAAACCTCCCGTCTGTGGTCTGGCTGACTGGGGTTAGTCTCGCCATGAGTTGCACAGTCGCGATGCAAGCATGTAAGAAGAAATGCGGCCCTTGACCTCCTACACGGCTTTTTGCGCAGTCAAGAAGACTCGAGCCTGCGTTCTCCTGAAGCAGCCTCAGCCCAAGTCCGAACTAGACGAGTAGCTCGCATAGCCGTCGCGGCAAGATAGGCATATGCCGTGGGAGGCAGCGTGATGTCAGCGTCTGTCCTAGACCAGTGAGCCTTTCTGTCGCTAGCATCAGGGCCAGTTTGGGGTGTGCTTGATTGCAGGCAAGTTGGCCTCATGCTAACCCTTCGCCGTCTTCTGTCTGTTGGGCACGAGTCACTAGCCAGTACCGATGCTGTCCGTTTCTTTTCTGAAGCTGATATGGAGCATCAGACAAGCTCAGCGTTCCCGTCATCAACAACGGGCTTTGCGCTAGACCATCTCAAAATCAAGATGTCACCCGTCTCTGCTAGCACGGAGCCGTCCGCGTCCGTTCCCTTTCCTTCCACTTCTGTGTCTCGTAGCATACGAATAAAGACTGCGGTATCGAGATCCGGCCCGTCGATCATGCTAATGTTGCCAGCGGTATCGTTGAGGTTCTGTAGGTTTGGCGGGAAGGAGGAGAGGAAGGACGAAAGATAGTGATTATGCAGTAGTGCCTGGTGACGAGTCGCGTATGCCAGTTCTGTTTCGGAAAGACGGGCGCGGAGAGCCGGAGACGAAAGGTAGTGGAGAGCATGTTTATCGATCTATGGTAGCAGAGAAGAACAGTTAGCCACGCTCGGTGTTGAACATGCGCCGAGTTCGGTTGGAGAGCTGCATGGACTGGGTACCTTTGCAATACGAGCACGAAGGAAGCTCCTGACGAGGAACTTGAAGCGCTCAAGCTCGGTCTGAATGACAATGAGAGCGAAGTTGGTCTTGGGGTCCATGTCACCCGTCATGTCTTCGACCTTTTCGATCTGGTGCTTGATGCGATCGTTGACGCGCTCGAAGAGACTACCGGTAGGCCATCTGACGCACCGCATGTCAGCACGACACAAAATCAAGGTTTGCCTATCTGAGAAACTCCGAGAAGAAAGAGGTAGGCACGCACTCTAGAAGTTCTGGTGCGGTCCGCTCTGCCACCCAAGCACGCGTCAGGGCCTGTAAGTCGCGTGTCTCGGAGGGAATTGAGTACGAGACTGGGTCGACCTCGCGTAGGATATCGTCAATGTCCATTGTTTCTGGCTTTCATAAGTGGATGAACTGGATCGAGTGCTATAACATGGCGAGACTACGTTCAGCGACCCGGTGTTGGCGACGCGAGTTCGATGTCGAATTTGGATCGCGGGATGCTTGGGGGAGAAAGAATCGCGGGGTGCTAATTGACTTCGATGGTGGGGTCCCTGCCGGAGGTGGAGCCACAAAGCTAGGCCCAGGGTGCTCGGATAAGAGGGTACGCGTAGATGCAGTGACAGGAAGCCGGGGTCAAGGTATCTTTCTATCTAGGTAGTTGATCCCGCCATTCTCATCACCCTCTGTTCAGAGCTGCTTTCTGACCGACATGGCGATATTATAGGTTCTTGGAGACCAAGAATACTGTCAATCTTTTTTCTGAAGTTGCTTGCAAATAATGTTCCTTGGGAATCCTACGACAATTTATTTGGCCGTTGCTTTGTAGCTGCCGCGTTGCCGATTACATGAACGCCCCGACGGACAACGCTCATTTCCTAATGTTACTATGACGAGTAACATGGGAGCTTCGTGCCGAGGCTCCCAGCCGGGGGAGCTTACGGATCTGACACTCTTCGGAGTATTTCAAGACGCCAATGCCACCCCCGCAATCCCTCGATCTTACCAAGTTTGTTTCTAGACTCGTTGAGATAACACGATACACGACTGTCAATAAGAGTACGATTTCAATTTTACCGCGAAGGACACCGTCTGTAATATTTAAACAGATTTTCTAGATTTCTTCTCAATCTTTACGAGCTCTTCCCTTCTCACAATGGCAGACTCAGGCGACGGCGATGAACGGACCCCTTACTCGGCCTACGCCGTCAGCATCTATCAAAACGGCATTATGGCAGGCCAATTGCCAATCGTAACGACGGATCCCAACGGCCTGCAGGCCCAGGCCAAGAAGGCCATGGGCCCCGAGTCCTTCAACTACGTCTTCGGAGGCGCTGGCGAGCTGTCGACTATGGACGCGAACCGTCTGGCCTTTCGCCAGTGGAAGATTGTGCCTCGCTTCCTGAGACCTAGCAATCCTCGGGATTTGAGAACAGAGTTGTTTGGCGTGACTTATGGTACGTTGCGGATGCTAACCCAATTTTAAAATGAGACACTGCTCTAAGACAACAGCTCAGAGTCTCCCCTTTTGATGGCCCCCATCGGGGTCCAGAGTATCTTCCATGAGGACAAGGAGACAGGTCTAGCAGCCGCCTGCGCCGAGTTGCAAGTGCCGTACACGTTAAGCACGGCGGCGACCTCGACCATTGAGGAGGTCGCCAAGGTCTGTGGCGACCAGCACCGCTGGTTCCAGTTGTACTGGCCCATGGACGATGACATTACGGGATCGATTCTCAGACGCGCCAGGGCCAACGGGTACAAGGTTCTCGTCGTGACTCTCGACACTGTGACTTTGGCTTGGCGACCGGCCGATCTCGACCAGGCATATCTGCCCTTCATCACGGGTACAGGCAACTCGGTCGGCTTCAGCGATCCCGTCTTCCGCAAGAAGTTTTCCGAGCAGAATGACGGCGACCAGGTAGAGGACAACATCATTAGCGCCTCCCGGTACTGGATCAGCCAGGCCTTCCCCGGCGATCACCATTCATGGAAGGATCTGGCGCTCCTGAAGAAGAACTGGGACGGGCCCATCGTTCTTAAAGGCGTGCTGAGCGTCGAAGACGCCAAGCTCGCCGTCGAGCACGGCGTGTCGGGCATCATCGTCAGCAACCACGGCGGCCGACAGCTCGATGGCGGGGTCGCCTCACTGGAGGTGCTCCCGGAGATTGTGGAAGCCGTGGGCGACAAGCTCACGGTTATGTTCGATTCCGGGATCCGAACTGGGGCGGACATTGTCAAGGCGATCGCTCTGGGGGCTAAGGCCGTCTTCGTTGGCAGACCCGCCATCTATGGCCTGGGCATTGCGGGTAAAGAGGGCGCGAAGGCTGTCATTGCAGGGCTTCTTGCTGATCTGGATTTGACAATGGGACTCTCCGGCTTCAAGAGTCTCTCCGAGCTCAAGCCTTCCATCCTTCGGCAGGTTCGGTACGGTGGGGATATGAAAGCTAACCTGTAGTATTATCGGTTTTGTTCGCTTTGAAAAATGTAGGGTCTAGCAGGACGGCAAGCCGTTGTGCCGAGAATTCTGTGTTGTCGCTTTCGCAATGAAGCTGGAAGGAATACAAGCTTATTTTGTTCAGAAATAGTGTCGATCGTGGCCCCATTCCCTTGGTCTCATCACACCTTCTCCGCGGCTTTTGAAATTTGACCCAGCGTGGAGTTGTAGACTAACAAGCAATAAGCATATTGCGGGCCATATTTTCCCCCGCACCCCACCAGCGCCGGAATGCTCGCCATCCGACGTGCTTGCAGCCCGGGAACGAGGAAAGCCACCGAGCTAACGTTCGGCTCCTGTCGATGGTCTTGGCCCGAGACAGGCCAAGATTATCAGATCGCAAGTGCCAATGTCCATCGCGTCGAAACATGCCATTGGGTTCTTTGCTATTCATTCCTCACGTGGCTTGGAATCCATCTCGGTGCAATTCGGCCAACCCAGGCGTTCTCTACCTGAGCACCTAAGGTAGCGAGAGTCTTCCACTGAGCACGCTAACGTCAAATGCAGTAGGACTGGACTAACTCATGGTTCTTCTTCGCAGTCAATTACAGTCAATATTGGGCCTTACGGGATTCCACCTCACAGCCACGGCGAGGCTGCTGGTGCCCGCCTGCAAAGAGTTCACAGGCCTTGCCACACTGTTCCCCTTCCATGACGAGATCATCATCTCTTTTTGGGGAATGTTCGTGATCTTCCAAGGTGCTACCACGGGCTAGCGTGCATTCGTTCCAGTTTATCCTTTCCAATAGCTCCATGGGAAAAGGTCCATCCGAGGGAGCGGGATTTAGAGTGCAGTAAGCATATTCTTGCGGAGAGCGGGCCTGTCTCTGAGTAATCTCGTTGCGAAGAGTCTCATCACAAGGCGTCATGTTGTTGACAAGATAGGGTGATCACTTGAAGTTATCTGATATATAAGACGGCAGCGGGGCGGGCGATGTAAGAGAGAAGAAGGAAGAAGCCACTGTAGATACAGCCATCTCACCAACAGTCCTTCCTTACCAAAGATCAATCAAATCTTCTCCTGGATACATTATACATAAGCACATAGTCACCTCATACTCCTCCTACAACCTCTATCTAATACAGTTTCACCAAAATGCGGACCTCATCCATCATCCTCGCGGCCGCGTCCGCCGCCTTCGTCCTGGGCGCTCCCCTCGAGAAGAAGGCCAACTACGACCCCCTTCCCGGTGGTGATATCACCATCTTGAAGTAAGTCACAAGAGTATCAAGTTGTGGTTCCACATCTGACAAAGGTCTGATAGCTATGCTCTTACCCTCGAGTACCTCGAGCGCAAGTTCTACGAGGAGGGCTTAAAGAACTACACCGAGGCCGACTTCTGCAAGTACGCCGGTGAGGTTGGCGAGAAGTTCTACAAGAACCTCAAGACCATCTACGAGGACGAGAAGGTAAAGTTTAACCCCCCAACATACTACGCGACACCGCAAAGAGTGACCCCTAAACCCCATCACCTGTTATACTGGAAATTCTGGTCAACCCTCAAACTAACAATCCTCACCAAACCACCAGACCCACGTCGACTTCCTCAAGGGTGCCCTCGGCACCTCCGCCATCCCCGAGCCGACCTTTGACTTCCCTGTCGAGGACGCCGATTCCTTCCTCGCCCTCGCCTCCGTCCTCGAGGGTGTCGGTGTGTCCGCCTACCTCGGTGCCGCCGCCGTCATCGCAGACAAGACCTACGTCCCCGTCGCCGGCTCCATTCTGACCGTCGAGGCCCGCCACTCCTCCTACATCCGCGCTGCCCTCCGCCAGAAGCCCTTCCCCACCCCCTTCGACACCCCGCTCGACTTCAACCAGGTCTACTCCCTCGCCGCCCAGTTCGTCACCGGCTTCGCGCCCGGCACGCCCGCCCTGCCCTTCAAGGCCTTCCCCAAGTTGACCGTCTCGCCCACGCCCAGCTCCCACGGCGCCTTGTTCGAGGGTGCCTACAAGGCTGCCGTTGATGCGCAGACTGTCCCCGCCGGAGCTACCGTCTACGCTGTCTTCTACTCTGGTCTTGACACCTACTACGCCGAGGTTGCCGTCAGCGGTAACGACGTAAGTGCTCAACCTTTTTGACACTATCTCTGGATGTCTGAGTCTTGTACTAACAATGTTTTCCTGCAGTACATCGTCGAGCAGCTGCCCGAGGGTCCCGCCGGCCAGGTCTACTGCGTCCTCAGCACCGCCAACGGCAACAGCACCAAGGTCTCTGACGAGAACACTGTTGCCGGTGTCGCCATCCTCGAGATCGAGGAGGCTGACTGGTAAACAAAATACCCTACTAGTACGAAAGAAAATGTCTCGTGATGAGATGGTTGCATGAAGCAGTCTAGGGCACTCTTAACAAATATTTGATATCTGATCCGGCTTTTATTACTATTTTAAAATCTTCTTTTGTATGTATTGGAAAATTAGCTCGAACTGCGGAAACCGCCTTGATAATTAATGCAATATTGTAACACAACTCAACTACCTTAAGGCACCTTGTGAAGTTTGTCATCTGATATGGACTGATAAGATCACATTTCATGAATGACGGAGCATCTCTAATAGAAACAGTGTTTTCATCCAAACTATGGTGTTCGTGAGCCACATTTACAATGACGATCAATAGTGGAATAATCCAATGTAATTAGGGCATATGTATCAATCGGACCAAGCCACTTCCTCCAAGGTCCAAACATGAATGTGTAAACTTGAATGCCTACCTTGGACACTGTCACAAAAAGAACAAGGCACCTTCCCCCAGATGTCCCTCCTTCGCCCCAAAAGTTGAACCCAAGTCACCTGACCCCTGACCTTCCCTTCACCTGGATAGGCACCCCTATGGTATATATTGCATCCCAACCTCGCATTTCGTCACCAGCACAGTAGCGCCCGTCTAGATCGGCGAGGTCAGGTCAAGTTGTGTGCGAGGTGATCGAATAGTCGAATAGTCAAATAAACAAATACTCCAATGAAGCCAGAGTTCGAGTTGACTGAGGGGCGCGCGGTTCGATTCCGGGCAGGGGGCGTGAATTGTAAGGTCACTTATCCCCCTCCCTTCTTCCCTTTCCTTTTTGTTCCTTCTATAAATGGTTTGGTATTTATGTTTTTCCCTTTCAGTGGCGGAAGTGTTGATGGAGGCATTCGGAGTGAACTTTCACCTCGCGGTATGTTTGCAGCCTCCCATCCTCGAACAATTTCTATGGCGTTTGCTACTCGTGATAGGAAGGCTTCTTTTTGTCAGACTACAAGTACGTGTTTTTTTTTTTTAAATCACCAGCCAATTACATATGCGACCCAATCATTAAGTTGCACGTACACGGCCAACCATCTGACGAATCCTCCTCGGTAAACCTGACTTTTGCTTATACATTTGGATTCGCTTATATATGGTCTCTATCTGACCCACCAACATCACCCCATCTACTAGAAATCTCACCACCGAGCAGTCAAACCACGACTGTCTTTTCTAATTCATCCCAGAAACACCGTCCTTGAACTTCTCAAATAGCGAGAGATCAATCCCAGCAGCCATGGCCTCATATCCGGCCGGGTTCAAATGCAAGTGATCCCCCGTATCATACTCGGCCCTCAACTTCTCCGGCGCCGTAGGGTCCCGCACAATCGCGTCAAAGTCAATCACGGCATCGTACCGCCCGCTGCTCCGGATCCACTCATTCACCCTCTGCCGCGCCGCCTCCCTCGTCGGGTCAGAGTACGGCTGCCCGTCGCCCGTGAGCGGCGTGATGGTCGCCCCGAACACCGCGATGCCGAACCTGTGAAGCCGCGTAACCATCTGGTCGTACGCCGCCACGAGGCGGTCGCCCACGGCCTCCTGCGCGGCGGTGGTGTTGGTCGTGGTGCCGATGTCGTTGACGCCGATGAAGACGATGGCGTACTTGATACCAGACTGCGCGATGACGTCCCTGTCGATGCGGCCTAGACCGTTGGGACCCAGGCCGTCCGCCAGGACGCGGTTGCCGCCCGCGGCCTCGTTGACGATGGCGATGGCGCTGGTGGACGACTCGTTTTGCATGCGCGCGAGGAGGCGGTCGGGCCAGCGGTTGTTCGCGTTGGTTGTCGAGCCGCGGCCGTCACTGATGGAGTCGCCCACGATGGCGACGGCCGAGGCGCCCTTGGGCAGCCAGCCCTCGAGGGCACTAATGAGGTACCAGTGATCCGTCGTCGTCGCAGTCGCGTTGCCGGCGGCAGTGGCAGCGAGGTCTTGGTCCGCGACATGGTTTCCGCTCTTGAGGAAGGACGTGGTGCGGCTGCCCGGGTGGCCGGTGATGCTGTTGGTCGTCTGGCCGTCGGCGAGATAGATTGTAACGGAGACGATGGACTGCGCTTCGACGGCGAGGTCGATCGGATCCGAGAAGACGATAGCGCCGTTGGGCACGATAAAGCCGCCGCTGCCCGAGAAGGTGACGACTTGGAGGGAGTCGGCGTCGACGCCGCTCGTGCCGGCTGTGTTGTTCGCCGTCCGGGCGATGGTCACGGCTGTGATGGGGAGGTCTGAGCCGCCAAAGGCGTTGCTAATTTGTAGGCGGAGGGTCGAGGTCGCGAGGGAGACTTTGACTGTCTGGCGAAGCGTCGCATCGTGGAAGACTCGGCCTGTCTCGTTCTGGAGGAAGGAGTTAGCGGGACGATCCTGAGAAAAGCCATTACGCTTTGAGGAGGAGAAAGAAAACTCACAAATGGCGCCGGGGGCAAGTTGGCAGGCTCGACCAGCTGAGGCATTGTTCCCCAGACGGTGACCCATTCCCTCTCATCTCGTGTAGGATGCTGAGGGCGTGCTTGTGCCAGAGGCGAGAGGAAGAGCAAGGCCGCGAAGGCCGTCTTGAGAGAGGCGATCATCATCGCGGTGAGCTACAAAGAAACGGGTGCTGGCTACAGATCCACCGATTCTTGGGCTCGAATCGAAAAGGGGGCCATCGTGAGCCTTATAAAGGGCTCCCAAACACGGAATTCG